TTCGATTATACCTATTCTACATTTCGATCGTAGTTCCGTTTTTCTAAGTTGCAAATTTGTTGACGGAGGACGTTTCGATTGTTATTTTCGTGGGTTTAAATAATAAAATTTTATAAAAAATTTAAGTAAAATCAAGGTGTATTAAACAAGGTGTGATTGACAACTCAGTGCGGCTCTCTTCTAAGGTACTATAACGTCAAAAAGTATAAACAAACGAATTAACCCTTAGTGATGCATGTATCTTATCAGCACTGATGCCCTAGGCTTTTATTTCGATTATAGTTTTGTTTTACTTACATTACTTACATCACATATATTTTGTCAATAAAATAAAACAAATTGTTTATAAAATCGTTTTAGCAATTTTCTTGTCTTTAATTGCCCAAGTTTTATGCTTTTATGCGTTTATTTTTATACTTAAATTTTTTATCCTAAACATTATTCTACACTTATAAACGTATGATTTTACATTTTTTACCAATTTTATATGTGAGCTTAACTCTAACAATTTTGAAATTAAATTTTTTTCATGCGAAATAGTTTTCCATTAAAGACCTTGCTTCGAGCGGTTTTAATTTAAGCTCTTCCATACTTGGTTGCATGGTTTAATTATTTCGGTAAGCCGAAATATTTCTGTTCGCAACGTGCATTCTAAAGAGTCGTCTGATTGAGTTTGGGCATCAACAAACAATGTATCCTGATCGCGTACTAAATCCTCACTTGTATCAGTTATTTCGTATGGCATTGGGACTGCGCTTGGGCATAAACGAGCTCGTTGGAAAGTGTTTGATTTGGACATCACTTTCCTTGAAGTGGTTCTCACAAACGCGAGATGAATCACGTAGTACACCACAGCTTTCTTCCCATCGCTGCCGTCTTAATTCGCAACTAGGCGGTTTAAAACATCGCACTATTTTCGTGTCCTGACTTTTATTGCATGCAGCGCACCGTTCAAACGTTTTGCTCCGTTTCATCTTGGTTTCCTTACATTAAATATTTAAGCAAAGTCGAACGTAGTTACTTATTACCAAACTTAAATGTACTTACTTGCTCTTCACGGCGGTTTATCTCTTAACAATTTCACGTTTATAAAGAAAATTTGTTGCTTGAAATTTTGTGTGTATTTTTATTTTCTTTTAATTCAAATTTGAAAAAAACACATTTTCAAATGGGTTAACAATTCATTTCAATTTGATATTATAGCCTGCTTCTTATGAGAGCAATGTTAAAATCAATCACACTTTGTTGAATACATTTTGAGTAAAATATACTGTGCATGATTGTAAAAGTCATCATAAATGAATTTTATCGGTTTCTGTGTTTTCGCGAGCGGTAATACGGGCAACACGAAAAATTGGCTCAAATAATGGCAACCAAAAGGGATATTGCGCGACGTTTTCAAAGTGGAAGTTCAGGCGTTTTTGTTTACTTTATCTATAAATAAGACTGTGAAATGCACTGAATACAATTTATTCTTTTTATATAAAATTAATAGATGTATGCACATAGATACATACATACATAAAATGTGAAGTTACATAAAAAAATATGCTTTTATTATTGCACTTTACTAACTTTTTAAAAAGAGGTGCCTATGTTGTCTCGAATTCGATTTGCTATGGAAAGATAAGCTTTATTCTTTCCCTCCTGACGGCTTTCAAAACCGGATTCATTTGCGTTCAAATCTTCCACTCTGTAGTAAATGCAAATGTTCTGGAGTGCTCAAACAACGTTTATAATTTCACTCACTTTGAGCGATGAGTAATACAGTTCAAGATGAATTTCTTATGACCAGGGAACGGATTTTTAGGACCTAAAAACCTATAAAAAAGGCAAAATAAAGTAACGAAATAGGCTGGAAAAGGCAAAATAAAATAGCGAAAAAGGCAGGAAAAGGCACTAGGCATTGCAAAATAAGGCACTAAAAAAAGACAGAAAATACGAAGAACAATCAAAAAATATATTTATTTTAGAAATACTTATATTACAAGTAAAAAGAGAAAAACTATGAACTAGTTTCATTATATGAAAAATTTGTATTTTGAATCGTTGACTATTTTATCCTTTCGAGTTTCTAACTCATAAAACTTTAATCTGTGTAGTTGTAGTAACATTGAACCATAAGATGCATTTTGAAGTTTTCTGGCAGCATTTTCATTCGATTTTCGCGAAGAAAAGCCTTGAATGTACTAAATGTGCGCTCGACGTAAGTTGATACAAGTGGAGCTTAATTTAAATATGGAACGTTTGAAACGTTCATATTATCAGAAATAAGGGCATTTTCCTCGCCCTTTACAATTTTACCCACACTCCTTATTGTCTTCAAGCCTACGTTAGCTGAGAAAACGGCTTTGAATTTTTTCAAACCAATTTGGCGAGAGGTCCCTGTGCTTCCATAAGCCGCATGGGCATGTGTATATTTTTTAATCTTAAAAAAAAAATTGTAAATGTTGTAATCACTTTTTTAAAGGTAGAAAGGCAAAAAAAGGCAAATATCTTAAAAAAGGCAAAAAAAGGCAACTTCAAATGTGTATATATGGAATCAGGGAAAGCTAAATCATGGACACTCTTAATCGAATATACTCTATCTCTTTAGCAGAAAAAAAGGCAATTTCCATAAAATCCGTTCCCTGCTTATGACTCTTCTCTCATCTGAAAAAGATCAAACATGTCCCTAAATCTCCGCCTTTCAACTTCCGCATCAGCAATCTGGGACTCGTTCTTCTCTTAAAGCAATAACGCCGCGGCTATGGATTTCATTCTTATAATTATGTTTCCACTTAAATTTTATTTTTAAATTACAGTGATGCTAGATATATTTATTTATTTTAAAATATGAAAATATTTCTTTGTTTTGTTTCGATTTCACACATTCCTAGGCAAACAGCTGATTTCTAAAGATGTTTTCTCTCTTCCTCTTCTTCTTTCGTTTCGATCGTAACGCAGTATACCTAAGTTCGAATCTTGGGTATGCAGTTTTCAGCTCATTAAATTTTGGTAGGTTTAAGTGCAAATATCAAGACGCTAGAAAATCGCGTTGATTTTTAATAATTTTTTTTGCTGATGGTGTTACGCATTTTCTTACATACAAACTGTCGAGCATAATTTATATGGAAGAAAATGCACAACACCGTCAACCAAAAAAATTATCAGAAATCAACGTGATTTTCTAGCGCCTTAAAAATTGCACTTTAACCTACTAGAATTTAATGAGCTACAAAATAGGAGTACCAATTGTTACCAAGTCGTGTTCGTTTAGCCAAAAACCCAGTAAAACTTGCAAAGAGAGAGCACAATTTTGACATTTCATTTGGAGGGGAAGTTGCAAATTCTTGCTGGGAAAATTTTTGCCAGTAAGAATTTGCAAGCAGGATTGTGGCACACGGTTGCATTTTTATCAACATTAATTTGAATCAACAAATTCGTTAAATTTAAAAATGAACAATCTTGTTGCGATTTACTAATGAAAGAAGTAGGTAAATATTCATTTATTCAATTGATTTAATTAATTCCAAACATTTGAAAGGTACTCGGCTGAAAAAGCTGTATTCGTAATCGGAACGCACTCGACACCACTGTCGATATAGGAAGTCCGACAGTGACTTCCACAAAGAAATTAAAGCATTCGAGAACATTCAGCGGCCAGCGTAACATCGGATATAAGTGAACATATACACAATTAAGAGCATATGAAAAAGCCTTTTGTTTCAACCTTTAAGAATTTTAAAACTAACTTGTAAACCAAGCGCAAGAAGGACGGATTACATTCAACAGAAACCAGATAAAAACAGGGTAA